AGAGAGAGCCCAGTCTGTAGCTTCCTCTTGTTTTCTTTTTATCAAGATGTTTGTATTTTAAAGTCAAAATCAGGAATGTGTGTTGTTAGGAAGTGTTGACATACTCTTCAAAGAGGCTGGATTAAACCATTAGAGCCTTTTAATGGCACTAAAATGAATCCCACTGTTAGAGACAGTTACCCTGTAGTGATTACAGTCTGGCATGATGAAGGTTTCACAGAAGTATACGATCACTAGTAACAAATAGTATACATAGACCTGTACTGGCTTTGCAGTGCACACTATGTGAATAACATTGGATGGCTGCCCTTACCAAATGAGAAAATAGATTAAAAAAGTAAATAAAACTGTAATGTTGCAAATGTGCACGCTCCTCATGATGCACACACACCAGGTATTAAACATTTACTGTTGGACAATAGTATCAAACTATAAACCCGACTGGTTGTTTAGATACCAGATTTTAACTTTGACAAGATTCTAGTACAAATCAAACATCAATACCTGTTTTGATACCACAACAACAAAAAAGGAAGTCCCAGACACTCAGTATTGGTCAATTTCCTGTTTTTTTTATTACCAATAAAAAAGCATGCTAACTTCAGCAAACTGTTTTAAATAGCACATATTGCAAAAAGACATTAAAACAATGTTTAATGTCTTTGTGCTATTTAGACAGTGCTCGCTCTCTTTCTTACTTGCAGCATCTTCGAGTTGAAAATATGACCTACGATCTGTGGTTTTTGAAAGATTCAGTACTATTCAATAATCTCGATCATTAAAATAACAGAGATTTTTTTAAAACATGTGGCATCAAAAAGTATCAGAGTGTGGAACATTCTGCACCGTATACCCTGTTCACGCCTCTTTGAGGGATGTAACTCAACTCGATTAAACTTTCTTCAGCTTCTGACACGAACAAAAGAAGCCAGAAGCAGATTGTGCTCTCACTGTTAACCAAAAGGAAAGAGTATAGGGGCGCGGGATGGCCCTGCGGTTTGGTTGCACGCTCTATGTGCTGGGTCTGTTGTCCATGCTGCAGCGGCTATGAGTTTGAGTCTGACCTCCTCTCTTTGCATAGCTGTCCTGTCCATTAGAGAAAAACATGGCTGAACTTGAAAAAAAAAAAAGAAGAATATTGTAAAGACAACTTGAGAAAAAACATCTACCTTGAGCTTCAGCCCAAAAATATCCAGACTGACCTTCAGATGTGGTCGGTTGATTCCTCCTCTTAACTAGTTTTTTTTTTTTTTCTGCAAATCTCTCTATTCCCTTCAGGTTAAACTTTTAGCAGAGGGACTTTAAAGACACTTCTATGCTGTCAGTTAAGAGCGATGTGTGAAGTCACAGCGACCTTGAATAAAGACCTCAGCTCCATTTTAGAGTGCAGCTTTCCCCTCCACTCATTTATGAGCTGTTTGTCTTCTTCTGGTGCTCATTTCTAGACCCAGCTCACGGGGTGTCAGATGGTTCTGGGCCTGTGAACTTTGACAGTCAGCAGGGGGGGAGGGGATGAGGTAAAGATGAAAAAAAAGGTAGAAGAGTGAGAGAGGAGGTTGGAGGAGAAGGAAAAGGGAAGAGGAGGATAATGAAGAGGAATGTAAGGGGTGGGGCACCCTCTGGTATGTCAGCCATGCACTGTGTGTCTGTATGAGTGTGTGTGTGAGTGTGTATGTGTGTGTGTGAGTCTAAACACCCTGCCATGAGTCAGTGAGTCAGACATGCGCAGCTGCTTCAGCTCTCAATCACAAAGTGCTTTGAAACTAACTCCACTGCTCTCTTTGACTCTCTGTCTCTCTGACGTTTTCTGATCGCTGTTTTCCTCGAAGCTCCAGAAGCTGCTGCAGTGAATTCAGAAACACCAGCAGTAAACGGAAGAAAGTCACGACTATCTAAATGCTGGAAGTAGATTTTCAATGTTCCTTGTTGAGCCTCAGGAACCAGTTTTTACCCTGTGAGAATCCAGTTCTATGAGTTTTGTCTTTGGAGAACACAGAGATCACCTGACGATTAATCAGCGTGAGGTGGGACTGGACAGAACAACAGTCACTGACTGCTGTATCGACCTGATCTGCACAGAAACATCTGTAACATATATATATATATTTTACTATTGTAAGCAAGAGACACTTGTGGACGGAGTCAGAAATGGAGCAGAAAAGAGAGGGGAACGAGATGCTGGAAAGGAGCCACACTTCAAATTTGAACCCGGGCCGCCCACTTGGAGGACTATAACCTCTGAACATGGGGCACGCACACTAACCACTAGGCTTCCAGTGCCCCTTTTCAGTACCTTTAATAATTGTGATTCTGACGTGAATCGATATTTTCCCACCCCTCTTATAGTTAGCATAGCTTAGCATGCAAACTCGGGCTGTGACTGTATAGAGTGTATCGAAAAAATGAATGTGTTAGACTCAATAAGACATTCCATAGCAACAGTAAAATGCTAATATGTACACCTGTAAACCACCTGATCTGCTGCATTGAGCCTTTTGCAAAGTCTAAGTGATGAAGAGTTTGTGTTTAAGTGCTTTGCTCAAAGGCTCCCCGACAGTAGAGAAGAGGGAGCAGAGAAAGCTCTTCCCCCTCCCACCTTTCCCAGAACAATCTGTCAACCTTCTCCTCTACTTCCTCTTCCTCCTCCTCCTCCTCCTCCTCCCCATCTTCCTCCTCTTCCTTCCTGCCCCCCCAGCACCCCCCCCTCCTCCTCCTCCTCCTTCCCTCTTCCTCCTCCTCATCTCCCCCATCCCATTCTTTGTCATCTCTTTGGGTGAATTCCCAGCTGACTCTGTTTGTCATGGCAACCAACCAGTCGTGGTGACTGGGCCTGCAGCTCACACTTCCTGTGTGTGCGTGTGGTAGTATGTGTGTGTCTGTGTGAGAGGAGACGCATGCGCAGTGTGTGTGTGTGTGTGTGTGTGTGTGTGTGTGTGTGTGTGTGTGTGTGTGTGTCGACAGAGACTGGCTGTATGAGCCTGTCAGCCTGGATTAGAGTCAAAAACACTGCAGCAATGCCTGTTTTCTGTCTTTCTTTCTTATTTTCTTGCTTTGCTTATCTCTTTCTATTTCAAATGTCTTTGTTTTTTCCTTCCATGCCTTATCTTTAACACAGATAATGTCACCATCAGATAGGTCAACTGATTAGATTCACAGATTTGTTGAGATTAGAAAATCTATCTTCTGGAAACATGCTAGCCTTTGTTAGCATGACTCTCTCTGTATTCCCTTTCTTCATTTTTTGTCTGTTTTGTACAGAGGTCCAAAGAAATGTTGTAAATAAGAGCCCATCATTACTTCTGTTTTTAAAGCCTGATTTATACTACTTGGGTAAATCAATGCAGGTATGCTATAGCAACAGACCCTAGAGACGCCTGACATGCACACACACAGAAATGCAATGTTGGTACCTTAACAGCTAAAATAGGTCTGCTTGATAGCTTCAGAACAGAAATACAGAGGACTGTGTGTTTGATGCTAGTTTGTAGCTAGATACTTGAGCCTGTTTGAAGACCATCAACCAAAAAGAAAGAGTGCGAGAGCGAGAGAGAAATGGGGAGACATAGGTGAAACTGAGATGTACATATACCTGATGAAGCTTTGTGTAATTCTGCAGTTTATCAATAAAGCGTACATAGTGTCACACTGCAGACTATAATCTCCTCTGACAGTGAGGAGGGGGACAGCTGTCTAACATGAATGAAACCAACACGGGTTATACACGTTAAAGTGGTATAAGTAATTCAATGTGCTGTTCTAATACTGAAGCAGGAGAGAGGGCGGAGGTAGGAGGGAGGGGAGGTGGGGCTTTAAATCTGGCCTATGATCCTGTGCTACAGCACGGAACGCGACTATTACATAACTGTGTGTGTGTGTGTGTGTGTGTGTGTGTGTGTGTGTGTGTGTGTGTGTGTGTGTGTGTGTGTGTGTGTGTGTGTGTGTGTGTGTGTGTGTGTGTATGTGTGTGTGATAGTGCTGCTGGGCATACAGTATGCAGCGGTGAGGCTCTCTCTGCAGCTGCTCCTGGTTTCACTGTGTGTTTTTTAAATCCCCTGTTGCAGTAAGCTTGTTGCGTTTAAGCAGCTTCTTGAGGACCGTCGTTAAGCTGCAGGCTCCCAGTTTGCAAACTCCACCGCAGGGCGTATCAGCGTTTCTATATGTGAGGTGTGATATGACAATGATAGTCTAAGGTGTGACTGAATTTGATACAAATTACAGAAACCCCAAGACCGGCTGTGGAATCTCTGAAATATCTGAACTGTTTAAGGGGAAATCTGGGGGAAAGTATTTTAAACTCTTTGGGAGCCTCCTGGAGGGAAAAAGGGTTTTAAACTGTCGTCCTGATATTTCATTCAGCATAGTCCACAACGTGCAGTTTCTGTGCATCTGTGTGGCTCTTAGTGGTACCATCTGTTTTCACCATGTGGAGTTTGTAATCCTGCAAGCTGGTGTGGTAGTTGAGCTCTCGGCCTTCAGTAACATTGATAGTTTTGAAGTACAGACGCACAGCTCACAACCAATTTGCGGAGACTTGTTCCGCCCACCTCCGCTGGTCACCTGTTGTCTTTAAGTTTTTTAAGTGTCTGTTGTTGAGGAGTCTTTTCAATTAAACCAGCCCTGCACGAGGTGTAATTACTCTTTAGTCTTCCACAGCTTTATTTAAATGCACGATTACCACCTAATGAGGGAGAAAAGATGTTTAAAAGTGCTGCTGCAAGCCCAGTTTACATCTCTATGTATCCCAGCATGCTTTGTGCAGCAAAGTCACTCATGACACAATAATAATAATGAATGTGAGCACATTTTCAGTTGTGTCAGTTTGTCTTTCTTTGGTGATTGTGGTGACGATGACTGATCTGATTAATTCAATTGAACTGTATACACTTTTTTCTTTTTTTTTTACTTGCAGCCTTGTGAAGTGTTAAATCATTGTTTACCTTTTTGTGACATCTTGAGTAAATAAAGTTTTTTTTTTTGTCTCTTTGTTTTGTGTCTTCCAGATTTATGTTCGGTAAAGGCGCGAAGCGGAAGCTGGATGAGGATGAAGAGGCGCTGGAAGGCAAAACGCTGGAGGCGCCGTTGGCGGGAGGGGGACTAGGCCTGTGTCCGGAAGGCCTGTCCAAGGTGTCGTACACCCTGCAGCGGCAGACCATCTTCAACATCTCCCTGATGAAGCTGTACAGCCAGCGGCCCCTCGGCGAGCCCAGCCTGGAGCGCCGCGTCCTCATCAACAACATGCTGCGACGCATCCAGGATGAACTGAAGCAGGAGGGCTCCCTGCGCCCGCTGCTCTTCCCTCCCTCACCACCACCAGATGACCCCATGGACGAGGGCTTCCGTGAGGCGCCACCTTCCTTTGGGACAACACAGGTATCCCAGCCGTCTGCGCTGCTGATGCCGGTCATTGCTCCCCCGCCTTCACCCCACCCGATGGTGCCTCCCAACTTCCAGACACCCCAGGCCTGCCCCAGCAGAGTGGAGCTCGGCTCCGCCCCTCTGGAAGCCTGCCTCACTCCGGCCTCTTTACTGGAGGAGGATGGGGTAGATTCAGCCTTTTGTGCTCCATCCCCTCCCACTCCTCCTCTGTCGCCTCCCCCAGCACAGCCTCCACCCTTACCCTCGGCCCTTCTGAGCCAGGCTCCCCCAAGGGTCCCTGTGCCCGCCTCGTCCAATGACAGCTTCCCCTCCGCTCTGAGTGACATGGAGTTGGGTCCTCCCACAGCCATAGCAAGGACAGCAGCAGCTAATACTACGACCGTGACTACCTCCCCAACTCCCACCCCACTCACCCCGCCCTCCCACCTCGCACCCCTCTCCCCCACACCCACAGGCCCACCCAGAGACTGCAGGACCATGGGTGCAAAACTAGAGGCAGCTGGCGTCTTGCTAGCTGAAGGCCGCTGTGTGGAGCTCCGGCCGATGGACACTCTGCCCACACTGCCCCCTGGTGGCCTGGTAGACATTTCTTCCTCTCCCTCGTCCCCTCCTTCCTCTTCCTCACCCTCGGGGTTCCTCTCAGACTTGGCGCTGGACGATGTCCTGTTCGCCGACATCGACACGTCCATGTATGACTTTGACCCCTGTACGACAGCGGGGGCTGGGGGCGTGGCAGCAGGCGGCGGCCTCACCAAACTGTCATCAGTGGTGACGGCGGACGACCTCCTCAAATCTCTGTCATCGCCGTATAGCGGCCCCGCCCCCCAGGTTTCAGCCAATCAGCCTTTCAAAATAGATCTGACAGAACTGGACCACATTATGGAGGTGTTGGTGGGATCGTGACTCATGGATGCCCCCATCTCTGCAACACACGGACTGATAAATCACGAGAATAGACTGAAATGAAAGAGATAGCGATGTGGGGGTGTCTCGTGGTTTTTATGTTGTTGTTTTTTTTTACTCTCTTCAAAGGTCGGTAATTGTAAACATCAATGGTGATGTCATTCAGTACTACTATGACAAATACTACTACACACACTGTGCATGCACTGCGCTCGCCTTTCCAACGTATGGAAAAGAAAGACAAATACGCTTGTATTTCTAGACTTGTGAGGACTGATTGCATTCATTCCCTAATCTCAACCTAGTTTCAACCTCAACCTTAGCCTTAACCTGATAATGTAACTGTAAATACAAGACATGACGACCTTCACATCGTCCTCATTTTGGAGGATTTCCTGCACTCAGTCTTTCATAGTGCTGACATTTACTCCTCACAGGTTTAGAAATACAAGTACACACACACACACACACACACACACACACACACACACACACACACACACGCCCACACACACACACAAACAGAAGTCGAGGCTTTTAGCAGTTGAGTGCCTTTCAAAATGACCACTTGTTCAATTCCTGTTTTTTTTACAATATATTTTTCTCACTTTAACAGCCTATAGAGAGGTCACTCCTCAATGTTTCTTTAATTTATTGTATCTAATAATCTATTATTAAGGAATTTAAATTCATGATCAAATAATTATTTAATCTTTATCTTATTACAGATGTTTTGTTTTTATTGGTAAAGCGAGGCTCACATAGTTTTAGCAGTGTGCTACATTAATTATTTTTTTTGCTTGGCTTTATATTAACGCTATGGGAGTTTATCTAAAACAAATTGCCTGCGTGTTTGTTTAACTCGGCGGTAGACGTCTGTTCTTGGACACGTGGCGTCTATGAATTCAGTTCAGGGGGGTTTTTTCACATCCTCTTCCTTATGGGCAGCACGTACAGTGTAACTGTGCTGGATGCTGTTTCACATGAGCTCAGTCGTTCCCGCTGGTTATCATGCTTCACTTACAGCACAATTCAAATGAGCTAAGTGTTTACATTGGAGACGGCAGCACCACCACCATCTAACTCTTGCCTCCCAGTTTGACAGAGATGATTTAAAAAGCTTCAACTTAAACAGAGACTTTAGCCACTAAACACATTTTAACTTGACTGTATCGGACCCAAGACAAAACCGCTCACACACACACACTGCACGGAGAGTCACTGTGGTACCAAATGTGACTGCATAGAATTACTCGGAAAAACACACTGAAACCCAAAATGTTGGCAGAATTGCCTTACTTTTGGTTTGGCTCTTACAGAGCTAGCAACATCAGTGACAGACAAATTACAGCACACTAGCATACAGTATTACATGCAGCCTGTAGTATGTTTACTTGTGTTTGAAATAGGAGCCCTACATGCCAAATCTCAGGGTTCCGCTTTCTTCTATACATTGTGCTGCAGTGTTTCAACCCAGAGAGCCAAATACCCGTGTTTAACAAACACGATGGCAGGACATTTCAATCTATTTCCTAAATCATTTTCATCTTACAGGTCATTTCTACTAAAGAAGGAAACCAAGACCACAATGTAAACCTGATCCAACACCAATGCAAACCCTCAAACACTACCCTCCTGCACACTGAGTTTTGACACAAACGGACCAAATGTGATGTCAGCATGTCACATAGGGGTCACATGAGGACTCCTAAGGTCTTTATGTTTCCTTTCCAGCGGACCACTCTGTCACACACACACACACACACACACACACACACACACACACACACACACACACACAAGTTTTAAATAGATTAGGAATACTCACTTTATCAGTGCTGTGTCCTCAGCTGAACCTCGTATTTGCTCTGTATTGAAGTTAGAAATTATCCTGTTTACATAAATCCCCCCCCCTTCCCCCTTTTAAAAGTATTGAGCTGATTTTATGTTTGATCATTTTAACAGTCAAAAGTCCAACGTCCCAAATCACCAGACACGCTGTGATAAAAAAGGATGAAATGTTTGTAAAGAACATTTAGAAGTAAAGGCAGAAGGCTGCAAACAATTCAATCACTGTCATGTATTTCTACCGTATTAGACTGCAGACCTTCATTTGTAGAAGAAGCCACAAACAGGACTAAAGACTGCATTTGGCAATGTCACATGTTTAGTCACAATTTGCACAAAGCCTATGTTGGCATCATGATAGTAATAATTTCTAAATGCTTGCAGGAAACATAGGCATAAGTAAATAACAGACTCACATTTCTCCTTCATTTTTAGAAGTCAGACTTATAACAGCACCGTAGGATTACAACGTTTTTAAGATGCAAGTTAATGGATTTTAAAGAGATGATACAACATAACAAAATAACTGTTCTTGTCTCAATAGATGTGTTAATTGTAGGCTCCAACCTTAAAGGAAAACATCCACCCAGGGAAACTTTTATTCTTAGGCTGATGTGAAGCTCGATTATACGTCAGTGATTCTGTCTCCTCCTCCTCACTCTATATGATTGTTTGATATCAGGATCAAAGATCAGTTATATCTTAATTATCCACACAAGGCATTTTCTGAAATGATCTCAGACCTATACAAAAGAAATGTCAATGTCCATTTTTATATACATTTTTGGCTTCACACTGTTGTAGTAAGCCATAATTCACTCTGTTTGACTTGCTATGTACTGAAAACGGAGCACCTTTAGTTTGGTGTCCATTTTTAAAAAATGGTTAGCATTCTCAGCTGACAGGTTGTTTAACTTTGCGATGTTCACACTCTGACAAGTGGATTAGCAGTGAACTAAGTGAAGGAAAAGTAAGGTATTATCTGCACTGTGCGCTCCCCGGGGGATGTTTTTTAAAATCTAGACATACTAACACTTGGCTTTCGAACGTACCTGTAGGAATAAAAAGATTGCTTCACTTGATTTTGAACAGAGCTAAAGAGGAACATCTAGCCGACTAGCTTTTCACAATGTGATACAAAAACAGAAAAGACTCTGCAGTGGTCTAGAATATTAAAGGACATTATCTGACAAATTAGGGTGGAGTTTTCCTTTAAGGTTATTAGAACTAAAGAGAAACCTGAATCACACACGTGTCACAGCGTTGCGGTGGGTATGATAATGGTATTTTTTAGCAGAGGTCTCCGCTGTAAATGGGGCAGAATGTGTAATCTGGAATCCAGTCCGACTAATTTTACTGTGTGGTGTTAAAACTTGTTCTAACGGACGATAAGTAGTTTTCCCAACCTGCAATTAACCTCCAGCTCAAGTGTTAATGAACTGAATCACAGCCCAGCGCAAGCCGAGCAGAAAGCAGCACAGACTCAAACTGTTTGCAGACGACTGTCTCGTTTCTTTCAAAATGTTTGAATTTTGGAGTGGTTGTTTTTGTTTTCTTGGGGGTCAATGAAGTTATTTATTCACATTGTTTTCCTCTTCTGTGTAAATATATATATTTATTTTTGATGTGAAGTGAACCTTTTGGATTGTAAATGTGTGTACAGAATGTTTGGTAGGAATGTACTTCAGGTAGGAATGTATCTGAGTGTGGACTTATGGGTGGAAGCCATTTTTTTTATATACATAGGATATTATATTACCTTGTTTATCTGTTTGTTTGATTCTTTTGTTGTTATTGATTTTTTTTGTGTGTGTGGGTTGACAGCCACAGCTTTTTACACATTTTTCTACTTTTATGTTCATCATTTTCCAGTTGAAGGCGAAACAGTACATGCAGCAATACTCAAAAAAACCCGTCTCCAACCTTCAGATGTCAAACTCCAAAGCCTGTCATAGACACTTCAATGCCAAAAGTGATGTACATAGTATGAACAACAGTCAAGCTCCTGAGACTTTTTTGATCAGTGTTTGATACCGTATCTGTTTTAGCGCTGTCTGAACGTGCTGCGGCTCGAAACCCAGAGAAAGACTGACCGCAGCGGAGGCGGATTCCCTCTAAGAAGGCTGTATTTTACACAGACCTCTGAGCTGTGCCTTTTTCTATGCAATAGAACACAAACAGAGAAACTGTCAGCTGATCACTGTAACGGGATACAAATGTGGACTGTAGATAATATATATATACAGTATATGTATACATATATATGTATATATATACACATAGTATATGAGATAACAGACAGCTGTCAATGAATTGGAAACAGTCTTACTTTTGTAGTTTTATATATGTATATATATTATGATATATATACATATAGATACAATAAACTGTAAAAAGAGATGTCTTTGTGTCTTTCCTTCTTATTTTAATGTAAGCAGACTTTTTGTAATCATGGAAGCTTGTATAGACTTTAACACTTATATTAACATAACTAGCTGTTTGATCAGTTTGTGTTTTTAGTTATGGCCATTGGAAGAACTTTTACAATAAGGTCTATTTTTGTCTCAGCCATGTCACCTATATAAAAATGACCACTGGTCCATTATCCATTATCTCTTAAAGACGATCCTGAGATATAAACATGGTGCCGTCTCAAAGGGAGCTCTGAGTGAGATCTCTCAGATTTCTTACAGTCGTCTCATTCCAAGATTTTAGTTAAATGAAAAATGAAATCAGTATGAGCCCTCAAGTTTTTCTCACTACGAAGGTTTGGTCCATTGACTGAATAAAACATGGACGTAGTCTGAGTCAGTGGTTCTCAACTGGTCTAGCCTCAGGACCCAACACCAACTCCATAATGATAAATTGGAACCCAAATTTCTGATATTTTTGAACCAATTAGATTTAGTTAATTTAAAAAATATATTTTTGGACCACAACGGTCCAAAACATGATAGAACAAAAATGCAGAATCAAACAAGCATGAAGTGATTCATAGACTTTTTTACACCACTATTTTTTTTTGGGGCACACATTCGCGACCCACTGAAAACGCCTCTGCACCCACTTTTGGGTCCCTCCCGACCCACCAGTTAAGTACCACTGGTCTAGGTGATGTCACCCATTGGTTTCTGAAGATATTTGGAAGCCCAATCACGGCGGTCGCCATATTTGAAATGCTGACTCAGCCTAATTTTCTGTCAACGGAAAACACGTTCTGTCAACTAAGTCCGCCTCTAACTATGCAAGTTTATTCCAAACTCTTAGCCTTTTATTAAATCAAATGAGTAATATGAAGAAATCATCCCATGTGCAGAATAAATGATCTGATAAGATTTTTGATCCAGGCGTGTAGTAGTATTTTAATATGGGACCAGCAGGGATTCCTTGTGTTTCTACATCCATCCTCAAGTGGACACGCAAGGAACGCCAGGTTTTTTTCACTGCCCCCCCGCCGATATCTCGTCATATAAAGGTTATTAATAGAGTTTAAGATCGTCACATACTTAACCATGACATTAATAACCTTTGCAACAGTTATTTAATGTAATGTAAGGTGTGAATGCTCCGTACCGTGCTCAAGCCCGTTACACTTCCTTGGCACGGATGGAAGAGGTGTGCTTTCGGCATGGTACGGTTGCTCATGGACGAGCACAAGCACAGGTATGCAACGTGGCCATTACATTTCATGAATGAAAACCAGGAGTTTCATAGAGCAGTATCTGACTAAGTCACAGGTTGCTGACATGTTCTCTGTGTTGTTCTCCATTGTGCTCACTCTGGGACTGCGCTACATGTAAACTAAAGGACACTGAAGCCCGCGTGTGGTGTTTAAACGTGATGATGAGTACAATATAAGGTAACCATGCTCGAACCATGTAGGCCTAAGGGGGAACTGTTCCTTAGTGTGAGTGTGCCCTAAAATAATTTGTCAATTCTCGTCCATAATCCAGATTCTTTACTGCTTTGAGCTCTTTAATGTACACTGACTTCATACTTTAGATGTCAGAACAACCAACACCTCCTTGTCCTCTTCATCATCCACGGCTCTGTTTCCACACACAGGCTGCACTCATGTACCCGCACACCAAACATACATGAGATGACGCTCCATGAATGTGTGATTGTTGGCCTTAATTTGCTGTTAAATTCCCCCTGGAGCTAAAAAATGACCCACAATGAAGAAATATTCTCAGAACTAACTGATCTGCAGGAGGAGCTCATGAAATCGTACGATTCCTTTCACAGCTTTTATGATGTCTTCAAAACAAAAAGGCTCCTTTAGAAGAATATTTTGAAGCACAGTAAGATCATTTATTAGGAAATGTCTCCAGGCTGAAGGATGTAACAGGATTTATTAGAACACTGTGATCATACCAGCGTCTTCTTTGGAGTCCCAAAACGGACAAGATGATGATGAGTATAAAATATGAACAAAATTAATAAATGACATTTATTTAAATAATCATCCATACGGTGCAAAGGTTAATGTATAAAGCTGCCACAGTAAGTGAAACATTTCAGGCATCATAATAATATATCCATAATATTTTCTCTATCTTAATATTTCTGCCATTTTTATTGACTGACTTTATTTTCATCTTTAACATTTTGTTCAGGCTTAACGGCTCTCTGATTTAAGATTTCACAACTTTAGACCAACTGGACTAAAACTTGATAAACGTGTTAAATCTAAACACAAGCTAACTAATTCAAGGGAAGGTGTGAATTATTTCAGTTGTTTCTACACTTAAAGGGATACTTCACCCATTAGCATTAAGCTTTGTATCATTAGAAACCTGGTAGTATTTTTGAATGGTTGTGCATCCCGCCCTCATTCAGCGGCAGTCAGGACGAGGAGCAGGGCCGGCTCGAGCTGGGGCAGAGCTGTGCATTCTGGGAGTTGTTGTCTTTCATCCACATGAGCCAAAAAGACACTTTCTGCCCTTTCTTGGTCAAGAAGGCACCAACTTCAAAATGTATTTCACATTTCTACATATATGACCCAATGTCAATACAGATTCATGTTTCAGCTGGTGAAGTATCCCTTTAATGAAAGTGTTTTCATTAAAGGAAGAATGTGCGACATTGTACACATAAATAGAGCAGAAATCATATATCCTGTGTAAATGTCTCTCTGAGTCATGACTGTCTACAATGAGTGAGAAGCTCGAGTCCCGTCAGCTGTGTTGTTGTCAGAGCCGTGTTTGCATCATGTTTATATGGATGGGACGTCCTTGTGTATAAAGCTGTTTTAGTCAAGGACTAGAGAAAAGAAGAAGAACATACTCACTGCTTATTTGGATGTCATGTAAGTGTATTTAGATTACAGTCATTCAGCGTCAATTTATGTGCAATATGAAGAGTTGACTGAAGTGTGCTAACATTAGCATTCTAACACAACAATGCAGGACACAGGTGATTGCAGCTCGAGCAAGGGGCAATTTTGTCCGCAGCTTGCAGGTGCTTAATGATTGTGCGTTCTAATTGATAACTCCTTCATGTGAACGCAAGTGGAGAGGGGTTGGAGGTGTGTCTCTGGAGGAGAGCGGAGGCTTCAGAATAGCGGACGTGTGGCCAAACAGCAGTTTGTTTTGGTTTCATGCTGGTGCTCAAGGGCGACATCTACTGGATCAAAAAGTCACACATTCTTCCTTTAACAGTTCTAATAAATTATTTCCTATCTTTGACTCATTTGAACCTTTTACTACTTTTTTTCATTTTGTGTACTACCTGGTTTTAGGTCATGTTTCTTCAAATTCTCTCAGGCTGTAGTCACTCAATGTGATGGATGCTTGACTAGTAAAATAAGTACATTTCTAAAAACCTGACCAAAGCTCTTTCAGAGTCGGCTACGTCTAGTTTATTTCCAGTAGTATCAGATAAAATCACATTTGACTCTCAGTAAAGTGTTGGTCCTTGATACTTGGTCTGTTTTGTCTTTGCACTCTAAACTGTGGACCTCTGCTGGGTAACATCTCCACAGTCTCCATTAGAAAGCCTCGCCTGTGTCTTCCTCTGTGTTTGCTGCTTTCTTCCAGTTCGCTGCGGCACTCTGCCAACATTTGCCACTGTTAAACAGCCATGACTCCTGATCCGCAGGCCCGTGGTTATTTCCAGCATTCAGGCCACACAGCTGTGAGGGGAAGGGGGACAATCTTTTTTCTATTGGTGGAGGGAGGGAAAGTTTAGCTCAACTTAGCAACAGCGGAGCTAGGTCAGTGAGGACAACACAAACAAGACTCGGTAACACGGGCAACGAGACATTTTGTTCTACATGTATTTCAGTGATGTTCGTAGAGTGGGATGTAATATATAAAGTGGGAAAAAAAGAGCAAAAGACAGTAAAAAAGTTAGAAAGTGGCCTGCTATTTTTCTGTTTCTCTAAGTTTCTTTAGATGGCATTTATTATGTGTTATAATTTAGCAATTGTCATGGCAAACACAACTCTGGGATCATTGATTGTCTATGGCTTACAGGCGTCTACTGCCCTTGGCATAATAACTCGCGGCTGCCAAAAGTAAGGTAAGGCAGACGGGCCTTACCTGTTGCTGCCTCGCTTCAGTACCGCGATGCTTCACTCTCTAGACCAGCTCACTCTGCTCAGTTCCAACGCGTTCTTTGCCTTCTGATGACAGTTCAGTATTACAACAAGCGACAAAAGCTTGAGTGAAACTTTTTACACAGAAAAGCAAGCAATCAACCAACATCCTGAGAAGTAGCTTACAGTCCCAAACATTCTCCTCTCCTGCACATCTTCTCGCCTCAGCTCATCAAGACGGTGGCTCCACAGTCATTGGCCGTTCAACCAGTCAGGAAGGCCCGCTCCCTCTCATTGACATTAAGTACAACCTATCAGGGACAGTGTTGTTGAACACACTATTCAAATAAATACTGATTGATTGATCCACTGATTAATCGTGCACATAAGCATGCACTAAATGTATTCACTAGGTTGGTGACACTATTTCAGAGCTTTGCACACCAGTGAGGTAATGAAAGCTGCATATTTGTTGCGCTGTTCTATCGAAGTCTGCTCTCTTGACGATTTGTGTTCCCCCCTTACCAAACCTGATTTGGGTAACCCTAACTTCAATTTCAAATCGAGTGTCTCCTGTTGGAGATTTAACTATAGACTCTATAAAACATGGACATGGACTCAGTGATGGCACCAATTGGTTACTGAAGGTAGGATTTAAAGCCAAAGGATGGCGGTGGGTACAATCAACCTAGTAGCGGTCAAAGAGGCTGAGGTGTGGAGGGAATTTAGCTTGCTGCAGTCATTTCAGCCTCGCCCCTCGTTATGCATTACTAGTATCCTAAAATCGAAATTTTATAATGGGTGTGTATGTGACTTTTGGGTCTTTAGCAGCCAGCCTCAAGTGGACACTCAAGGAGCT